CATGCCCTCGTGAGTCATGGGATGTCCTGTCCAGCCACCCACAGAAAGAGGTGGCTTTAGTAACATTACATTTGTAAAATGCCTCAGCTGACTTTAGACTTTCTTTAAAGAAAGAACGGTTCACTTGATTCACAGGAAACCTAGCCTGATTGGGCAAGATTTGTTCTCATTTAGCGGGTGGGATTCTGAGAGGCTGCATCTGTACCCGGGACATATACAAGGCATGGGCAGAAGTGGCCCAGGGCCCAGCCCTGCTGACCCACAGCCGCAGTGGCCGCTGGGAGACCGTGCAGAGTCGACGCCTTTGTCGTGTCTGCCCTAGGACTGGGTAAGTTACCTGGTAGTGGCCCTGAGCCTCAACCCTGGACCCAACAGTGCTGGACCCTGAGTGCTGGACGGAGGCTGATATGCACTCAGATATGCGCTCACCTGTCTTGGTGACTCCGAGTCTTGGATCTGAATCTAGTGACTGAACGGTGCTCTCACGTGTTGGAGTTGCTTGCCCTACTGTGAACAGTCCCAAGCTGCCCTTTGGTCATTTTTTTTAAAATATGTGTTTTTTATTTGTTCTATGGTTGTACCAGGTCTTATTTGCAGTACGCAGGATCTTTAGTCAAGGCATGGGCACTCTTAGTTATGGCATGTGGATCTAGTTCCCTGACCAGGGATAGAACCTGGGCCCTCTGCATTGAGAGTGTGGTGTCTTAGCCACTGGACCACCAGGGGAGTCCCATTTGGTAAATTTTGTATCCTGCACCCTCGCTATCAGCCCACATAGCCTCACCAGAGCACCCCTCACACTGCCTCGCTCGTCCTCCTAATTTGCAGCTTGCATCTGCTGTGGTCAGGGAAACCAGAGAAAGAGGCTTGTTAGAACTGGGTCCAGAGGCTGTGAGCGAGGGACTCTGTCCCCTCGAGGGGTGACTGTGACACCAAAGGCCCCTCTTGGAGGCTCCCACTTCAGGTTTACTTGCATAAATAGATTTTCTGTGCTTTGGGAATAATACCCTACACTCTTTATTCTTGGGGGAATTTGTGGTTACCAAAGAGGAGACCTCTGGGCAAGTGGGGTGTTGCTGTTCCATGTTTCAAGTTATTTGTTGGTTTGGCTGCACCACGTCTTAGTTGGGGCATGTGGGGTCCAGTTCCCTAACCAGAGATTGAATCTGGGCTCCCTGCATCAGGAGCATAGAGTCTTAGTCCCTGGACCACCAGGCAAGTTCCACACATTTCCAGTTTTAAAGGCCTAGAAAAGACCATAACATGGCAGGAGTGACTGGTGAGAACAGTGAGCACGTGTGTGAGTGCCAGAGCTCGAGGGTGCTCTGGGTGGGGTGCCCATGATCCTGAGGGTCCGCCAGGCTCAGGCTGGTGCCCCCTGACCACCCCGCTCCCTGCACGAAGATCATGCTACCTTGGCCCAGCTCGGCTGTGTGAATGCACCCCGGTGTTCCTGGGGATCTGGGCCTGTGCTCGAGGGCACTAGGTAGCAGCGTCCTGGTCTTTGGGTCTCCTGGTCTCCTGGGGAAGGGTCCCTTAGTGTTGGAGTCTTGTTGTTAAAGCCGTGTGCCAGTCTTGTGCATGTTCTTTCCCTAAGGTTCTTCCCTCTGTCTTGTTCCCCCTAATTGTGTTATCTCGGGCAGGAGCCCACTGAATTCTGTTCTTGCTTAAAGAAATTTCTATGCTCATAAGCTTGTAAGGATGGTGCCCTTTCTGTTGCGTGACCCAGTCCTGCAAGGACCTTAGAGGGGTCCCAGTGTGACTTCACAGTGACTCCTTGGCCAAGCCTTGTTTTGCTTTTTGGCTTGCACTTAATTTTGTCTTTATCAAAGTAATGCATGTTCATCTTTTTTTTAAATGTCAAACAGTACTGAAGGGCTTAACACAGATAAAGAGCAGCCACCCCTTGGCCACCTTGCTCCCCTCATTCCAGCTCTCCAGACCGGTTCACTATTTTCAATTCCTTTCACTTCTCCTTTCTGATATTCACCCCCATACTCTGAAAAAAGTACATTTATCCCACTCCTTCTCAATTTACCAATTTTGGACGTTACCTATTGCCTCCGTGTAACTGCCTGTCCTGTTAATATCATTCTATCACAATTTGGGGGTAAATTCACAATATAAATACCATTCTCTGCTGAGCTTAGCACTGACCTATTACTTCTTTAAAAAGAATTCATTATTGTCTGGTTTCCTGTGTCTAGCTCTGTTTCTTCTCAGTACACCAAAAGATCAAGAAAACATCTGTCAGATTTTTTTTTTTTTTAAATTTTTTGGCCCCACTGTACGGCATGCAGGATCTCAGTTCCCTGACCAGGGTTCAAACCCTCGTCCCTGGCATTGGCAGCCCGGAGTCTTTCACTACTGGACCACCAGGAAAGTCCTTCTATCATGTCTTTTATCTGTTAGTTCATTAATCAGTTCCTTTTTTGTTTTCTGGACACTGGGCTATCTCACCCGTGAACTTCTTTAAAGTTTCTTGAAAATAAATGAAAATTTCGTTCATTTTGATCTATTATAGTGACTGTGCCACCTGCTCTGAAAAGGCTTTGCTGACACCGCCCACCTCCCCAAGGCTGCCCCTCCTCTGGGCGCCCCCGCCCCCACCGTTGTCCCTTGCTCTCGCCCTCACACAGACCTTAGTGCACTGAATCAATCGCCTGTTTTCTTGCCTGTCACTCCCCCCACGCTGGGAGTTCCCAAGGGCAGAGCTGAGTCCCGTTCACTGTGGTCTCCCTAGGAATGCCCGGGGGCTGGTGGGCACATAGCAGGTGCTCAATAAATATCCATTGGACTTTGCATGTGCTGGGTTGAAATGCCAGCGTGATGATACCGTCCAGGTAGTTCAGCGATGTTTCTCGCCCTGTGCTCCCTGGCATTTTCCACGTGCACCTTCTCTCAGCTTCCTTCCTCGGGTTCGGAGGCCCTTCTGGGCCTGTTACGACTAAACAACAGTCTTTCCTAGGTGAAGCTAGCAAAAGCAGGATTTACATTCCCGGGTCTGTGCTGCATCCCACCCCCACTCCCACCCCACCCCCCCCAGATTGGCCTCAAGCATCTCAGGGCCTCGGATTGGTCCTCGTCACTTTGTAATCCCAGCCCCTGCCGCCCAGCTCCGCAGACTGATGGCTCCATAGATGAGTGAGGTTGAGGCTCGCTCAATCAATCAATCAATAAACCAATCAGTCTTCCTCCACTCAGCCTCTCTGCTCCCAGGCATTTCTCATTATCCAGCGTCTGGATGATCAGAAGGAAAAAGAAGCCTCTGCATAAAGGTGACCCCATTTCAGGTTTCGCCGTGACTCACTGAGTATTGAGAGACGGGAAGAGCCAGAGAAGGGAAGATGAAGAGGGGGGCCAGGGACGCTCACCCTGCCCCACCCTCTCTGGGGGACCTTCGGGGAGATGTGTGGTCACTAGGCTGAGGGCCGCGTGCGAGCAGGGACCATCCTGTGCACCACGTTCTTCCCGGAGCTCAGCAAGAGTCCCAGTCATAGCTGATGTCTGTCTGCAGAAAGGAGGCAAAGACAGAGCCCACATCCAGGCGGGTTTGGAAAGGGGGACTTGAGATTGTCCGGGGTGCCGTCTTGGCTCTTAGTCCTGGGTCTCAGCCAGCTCAGGGAAGTTGCTGATCTGTGATGTCCACAGGGGCCCCACCCTTGGAAGGACACTGATCTGACAGCTGGCAGCCAGTGAAAAGGGAGAACCCGCCACCCTCTCACCCTCCTGAGCAGGCAGCCACTTCCTTGAGGCAGCCCCAGGAGAGGACACCTCATCCCAGGGCCCGTTCAAAGTGCCCCTCCCTCCACTGGTACCCAGCGCCTCCTGGGCGGACTCGGCCCGGGCTGGCCTCCAGCAGAACAGCCACCTTGCGCAGACCCTCCTCCTTGATCCTTCTACCTGGGCTCTCAACTCTTAGACCAAAACAGGAGAACCAAGAGGGCCAAGAACCGCAGAGGCCGGGCCTCACTCACAGCGTCATGGCCCAGGGCTCTCCTGGCCTGGCCTGGGCCCCCCACCCCGGGGCTGGGGCAGGGGAGCCTGACCCTGAAATAAAGCCGATGGCTGTCGGCCTGTTCCTCCTGCTTCCCTGAGAAGAAGCGCTTCTCTTGTGGGTGTAGTGAGTTTTGGGGGGGAAGCCTTTAAAGCAACCCTTTGATGCTTCTCCAGGAAAAGTGCATTTATTTTTTTGTTACTTTTAGGAATTAACTTGCAGTTCCCAGCCCCTCCCTCTCTCCCAGAAAGGAGAGAAAGAGAAAGAAGAAAGGGTCTGCATTGTCCCGGTGATTGGCACCTTCTGTGAATGAGGGGTCACCGCGTCGGGGCTGTTCCTTTTCAAGCACCCCCTTCTCTCCTGCACGCGGCATTCACGCTGGAACATTCTTTCTTTCAAAGCTTCTGTCTTTCTCTCCCCCTTTGTATCTCTGCTTTCCTTCCCTTCACTTTCCTGCCTTTCATTCTCAGCACTCACCCGCTCCCTCGGGGACCGCCTGCTTCTCCTTCTCTTTTTTCATCCCTTTTCTTCTTCTATTCAGTTCCTTTTCTTTTTTTCTTTTTTGCCCCCCACCCCCCCGCCACGCTTTTTTTTTTAAATTCTTTTTTCCTTTTTATTTTTGAATAGTGCTTCTGTTTTCAAGGACCGGGTTGAGCAGAGAAGTCGGTTTATTTGAGGAAGGGAGAGTATGGAGGTTTTAATCACACACCACCCGCTTCACCCCCCGTCCCGTGTGCTCTAGATGTGTGAAAAAGAACCAGCACGCAGGACACTGGCTCCCTCTGGGCTCTGGCTTTGGGAGGGAAGGGTGTTCTGAGAGGGAAGGGTCTCCGTCAGACAAGAGGGAGCTGTTCATCACAGGTCAGGCGGTTCTCGCTGAGAAACCTTGAATTGGTCACCAGGATGCAGACATGGTCCTGGGGATGGTCTTTCTGCCTGGCCCCAGAGTGGGCCTTAATGTGTGCGAAGTGGAGGACCTGAGGTGGGTGCAGAGCCCCCAGACCTCCCTTCTCTGCGGAAGCCTGGCCCCCTGGCCGGGGGAGGGCTCGGGGAGGCTGTGGGAACCTGGGCCAGGACTGAGCGCAAGGGGGAAGGCCGAGCGGACGCAGGCAGCATCACCGGCTTTTTGGTGTGGCCCTGGGTGGTCCCAGCCTCGGGGCGGTGGGCCTGCCCCGGCTGGCCCTGGAGTCCTGCACAGGAGGCTAGAAACCTGGAACGGCAGAAAGGAGGGGTCTGGCCGCAGTGGACTGCTTCAGGCAGCTGAGCAAGCCTTGTTGGTTAGACAGGTGTGACTGATGGAAGGCCTGATGGGCTCCGGAGCGCTGCAGGGCCTGATGGAGTGTTGAAGCACGGGGAAGAGGGTTTCTCTCAGGGAACCCCCTGCAGGATGAGAAAGCAGAGGCCAAGGCCAGAGCCCGGCACCTCGAGGGAGGAGGAGGCAGAGACTCAAGGGCAGCACGACTGGCTGGAGCCACCGCTCCCAGTCAGGGCCAGGACCCAGCCACATCCATGGAGGAAGGTGGAAGGACAAGTCAGTCCACCAGGCACAGAGGTGGCCTGAGCAGGGCGGGACAGCAGGCCACTGGAGGAGGAACATCAGAGAGTAGGTCTGAATGCCCCCTGAAGGATGGTTTATCCAGGAGACATGGGTGGAGCACCTACTGTGTGCAAGTTCAGTGGGCAACATACCCTCAGGAGGAGGACAGCCTGGGGCTCCGAAGGGCTGGGCTGTGTCCTGCCTCTAAGTCTGGGTGACTGAGACGGGGGGAGCTGTGGGTGGGGATGGCAGACCCTGCCTCCGGGGACAGGAGGTTTGTGCTCCAGCAAAGGGATGGAGATACCCAGCGAGCAGACACTATCTCTCGAAGCATCTCCCAGAGCCAAGATCCTGGGGCCAGGCCGAGAAGGGTACCACTGCCCCCCTGGCCCCGCCCGCCTCTTTTTTTTTTTTTCATTTATTTTTATTAGTTGGAGGCTAATTACTTTACAGTATTGTAGTGGGTTTTGTCATACATTGACATGAATCAGCCATGGATTTACATGTATTCCCCATCCCGATCCCCCCTCCCCCGCCTGCCTCTTAAGACACCCAGTGTCAAACCCACACCTGCCAGGGCGAGCCTGGCTGCCCATCGGGTTTTTCTGGTTTGAGCAAGAACATCTTACACCCCATTAAGGTGCCTACAGCACCTGGCCTGGAGATGAAAGGGGAGCCCGGAAAGGCAGCTCGCTCCTGGCAGAGGCAAGGTGATCAGGCTTCAGAGACAGACAGGTTTCCTGGGGCCCCCAGCCACTCCCTGTTCCAGGGTGGCAGAGGGCCTGATGGTCAGTCTGCCCTTCAAGACCGGGCACAAGGAGCTGGCTCTTCTAGGAAGTCGCTTTGTGGCCCCAGGCCAATTCCCGGCAGCTAATAATAGTAGCAAACAGGCTGCTGGGTTCACACTTTACATGCTTTCATTTCTAAGGGCAGGTCCTGTCGGCACCCAGCCCCACTTTAGTCAGGAGAAAGGGGATGGGGGGAAGCAGAGGTGGGATTTGAACTCAGGCCTTCAGGTTCCAGAGTCTCAGCTCTAAACCAGCACTTCTCACCCTGTCTTTAAATTATAGTAAATCTACATATGAACAAGTTACGTTCCGAGAGCGTGTTCCTTAAGTCCAGTTTGTTCGTGAGTCCAGCAAAGTTAGCCTGGGTACCCAACTAACACAACTGGCTGTATAGTGAAGAGTGAGGAGAGTTAGTCACTCAGTCATATCCAGCTCTTTGCAGCCCCATGGACTGTAGCCCACCAGACTCCTCTGTCCATGGCATTCTCCAGGCAAGAATACTGGAGTGGGTTGCCATTTCCTTCTCCAGGGGGTCTTCCCAAGCCAGGGATTGAACCCACATCTCTTGTGTCTCCTTCTTTGGCGGGCGGGTTCTTGACCACTAGCGCCACCTGGTAAGCCCCACACAGACTCTGTGCTGTGCTGTGCAGACTGTGGTCGGTATTAAATTAGATAACGCTCTTAGACTTGGCACAGGCTGGCACTGGTGTTCTCAGGACCGCCAGCAAGTCTGCTAACATCAGGATTATGCCACCAGCCGAACAGGAATAAGAACACTGCCTACACAGGTGCTGCCCGTACAGACGGCGGCTCAAACCGGGCGGGGAGGACCCAGTGGCATCGTGCCCGGGAACGGCTTTGTAAACCGTCAAGGGCTCTGCCTGGACGAGCAGGTGTGCTTGTTCCCCTGCCCGGCCTGTGTTTCTGGGTCCCAAAAGAACTTGTTTCATCGTGCACTTTGGCACTCTGATCTGGGGATGTTCGGAGGAGGCCCTGCGTTTTCCTGAACCAGGACTCTGAACAGTCATGGCCACAATGCTGGAAGGAGTGTGACCCTTGGCTCTGGCCCACACACGTGTGCATGTGCATATGCATGGTCTTCACCCAAGATGCTTCCTGGACATTTTAGTTTCAAGGAATCGAGGCCAGCATGGGGGGTCTTACACTCTGCCCTGCACCCTGTGACCTGTTGGGGCTGTTTGCTGAGGGTGGGTCATCCCAGCTGGTAGCATTGAGACTAAGAAGGTGCCCAGTGGTCCCAGAGACACTGCATTCTGGTGAGAGGAGAGTTGGGTGTTGTCATTCTTTCAGAAGCGTGTTCTCTTTAAAATTATCTGTTTATTTTTTTTGTCTGTGCTATGCGGCTTGAGGGATCTTAGTTTCCCAATCAGGGATCAAGCCCATGCTCCCTGCAATGGAAGCACAGAGCACTAGCCACCTGACAGCCAGGGAATTCCCAGAAATTTGGTCTTTTGAGCCACCCCAGTGAGTTGTGAGATTTTAGAAAAGAGAGAACATTGGGCATCTGACAAGGGCTTCTCCAGGTGCACCGGGAAGGACTTCCCACCTCCCCAGGGCTCCATGGTACGTCCCAAGAGACCCTCACCCTACCCCTGTCCAGCAACCTAGGGGCTCTTGTGTGGATCAAAACTGGAGCTGGAAACTTCCTTCAAGACTGGGTTCAGTTCCAGCATCTCTCCCCGTGTACCTGATTACTTTTTGCCCCTCAAAATAGTAGCTGCTTTTTCCAAATGTTCATGCACTTACCATTCCTTTGTAGGTCTTACTGCAGATATATTTAGTGACATTAAGAAAGTATCGGGCTTCCCCCGTGGCTCAGCGGTACAGAATCCGCCTGCAATGCGGGAGATGTGGTTCGATCCCTGGGGAGATCCCCTGGAGTAGAGAATGGCAACCCACTCCAGTGTTCTTGCCTGGAGAATCCCATGGACAGAGGAGCCCGGCGGGCTAGAGTCCATAGAGTTTGCAGAGTCGGACAGGACTGAATGACTGAACACACAAGAAAATATCAGATATTTGGGGCCTGTGGGTGAATCACATAGTGTGTTTATATATATTGCAATGGTAAAAGCAAAGAATTTCCTTTTATCAAATAATGGCACCTGTGCCAAGTATTTTCACTCACATGATCTCAGCCATCTTGTCGGAAAGGCAGCCATCCCTCCCGTTCACACTTAAGGAAACTGAGGGTCTGAGAGATGAAGCAGCTTGCCCCAAGACCTTACAACCAGGAAGTGGCCTGGCTCACTCCAGGCCCTCCTGCCACCCTCGGTCGTGGGGCCTCACCCTGCCCGCCACCACTGCTCACTCTGAGGAACCTCAACCCCACAGGCTGCCCCCACAGCAGGTGGTGTGCTGAGGAAACCCTCCAGTCCACCGCAAACACCTCTGGTGAAGGCCAGACGTTTGCTTGGTTTATAATAGTCGCCTCCACTAAACTCATTTGGCCTTTGCGACACGTACCACATGCATTTGAATTTTAGCGCTTGGGGACAGGTAGTGCACAGCTTAGCACTCTGCAGGTGAGGTTTCCTAAAGCAGAGGTCCTTACCCTGCCGGATCTAATGCCTGATGGTCTGAGGTGGAGCTGATGTGATAATAATAAAGTACGCAGTAAATGTAATGCACTTGAATCATCCGGAAACCAACCACGCCCCTGCCCTACCCCACCCCACTCCTGTTCGTGGAAAAATTGTTTTCCACGAAACCAGTTCCTGGTGCTAAAGAGCTTGGGGACTGTTGCTCTAAAGGGCCTCAGTGTCATCCTTTATGATCCAGATCAGAGGAAACTGGTTTGCACTCTGGGCTGAAACAGCCACACTGGCCACCTTCTCTGATATCTGTGGACCCGCCTGCCCTCAAGGCCCTCCTGCCCCACTGCCCTCCGGCCAGGTCACCCCAGAGGTTTCTGGTCTCTGCCCTCTGGTCCTCCTCCCACCTCTCCTTCAGCCTGCAGGTGAGAGGTTCCCCACCCGCTTTTAATCCTGGGAGAGTACAGACCCATCGGGGGCTGGCTGTGTCACCCCCATCCTGTGGCTCCAGCCTCTTTCCCCTGCTTTCTCTCCACAGTCTTCCCTGGACCTCTCATCTCATGTCTGCATGTTGCAGGGGATGCCCCCTGGCCCCACCTTCATCCTCCTGGCTGGACCACAGGTGTCCACCCCTCACCTGGGTTCTGACCCACAACTCGCCATGTGACAGGGCAGGTCGTTAGGTGACTAAGGAGGGAAGTGGCGCGGTCCAGCTGCTGACGATGGCTCGCGTGGACGGCCGTGTGCGTCTCGTCTGCATGTGTACACTCTTGGGCTGAGTGTTTCCCCAGCTGTCCCTCCCCTCCGGAGATACTTGAAGGCATTACGTGAATGAGGGAGGCATTCTTTACTCCTCTCCTGGCATAAATCCGGACTCGAATTGGGTGTGTGGGTGACTGCAAAATAAATGTTGATTACAGCATTGGCAGACGCTGCCAGGGATGCTGCTGGGCTGGAGGCCCAGGATGAGTCACGCCGGCTGCCGTGAGCGAGGAGAGGGCTCCGCGGCCAGGCCACCCTCCTCGGCCGTCCTCGGCCCTCGGCACGTTCTCTGCCTGCTGCTCTTCTGCCTTTTTCCCTTCCCTTCATCTCTCACTGCATCAGATGGGGAGGTGGGCGGGGGCTTCCGAGCCAGGCTCTCTCCTCGCCAGACTGTCCCAGCCTCTCTCTGTGTACTGCCTCCCGTAGCTCATGCTCATTGGCCCGACGGGCTCAGCTCTGGGAAGTGGAAACCTGGATCCTGTGTCATGGATGAGGGGCCCGAGGCTCCCCCAAACCAATACATAATGGGGCGAAGGTGGACCCCACAGCTTGTGGCGTCTCTGTTGACTCCCAAAGTGCAAGTTTACTTGCAAGCATCTTCCTGACACCTTAAAAAAAAAGCAAAGTTGCTCTCTTTTTGTAGTACCTCATGCTTTTTGTGCTTTTTTCCTCTCCTGTTTCGTGGTTCCTCGTCTTATCTCTGAAACCAAAATGTGAGGTCCCTGAGAGTGGGATCTGTGTGTCCGACCAGCCGCCATCACCAGCCTGGCCCAGGGCGTGGATGATGAACGGGATGATAACATTAGCAATAGCTCCCGATAGTCGAGTCCTTACTATGCACCACCAGCCTTGTTATCAAACACGGCACAGGCGGGCTGACTGTCCTACCCACTTTATATAAGGAGTTTCAACATTTGCACGTGTTGGTATCCACCAGGGGCCCAGAACCCATCCCCCATGGGTACCTGTATTTCCCTTCTTTACTTTACCTTAAAGAGCACTTCAGGGACTTCCCTGGTGGTCCAGTGGCTAAGACTTCTGCCCTTCCAGTGCAGGGGGCCTCGGTTCTACCCCTGGTCAGGCAACTAGAGCCCATACACTGCAGCTGAAGATCCCACATGCCACAACTAAAACCTAGCACAGCCAAAATTTAAAAAAAAAAAAATTTTAAGCACTTAAGTTAGACCCAAGAATGAAACCCAAACTTCACTTACTCCTCTCATGTGTATCCTAGATGAAGTGACTTGGGTGAGTTACTCCTTTCTGCCTTGGTTGCCTCCTCTGTAACATGGGTTTGTCATCAAGATGTCATGCTTGGGACTTCCCTGGCCTTCCTTTCGTTAAGACTACACTTCCAGTTCAGAGCCAGGGAACTAAGGCCCCACATGCTGCGTGGTGTGGCCAAAGGGAAAAGAAAAACGGGTGTCATGCTTTCTGCCCATGATCTCATCATGCAAAAAAACCTGGCCTGAAGGAAGGGCTCGTATGCAGTGGATCCTTTTGATGTCTCTCTTCCTTGTCTTACAACAAAGAAACCAAGTCCCAAGGAGGTTGAGGAACTTGCCCAAGGTCACCTAGCTCATCCGTGGCAGAGATGGGGGTGTGGGCTAGGCCTGCCAGACCAAGAGCTGGGTTCCTCTCCCCTCTGTGTGTCAGTCTCTTAAGTCATATCCAACTCTTTGCGATGCCATGAACTGTATCCTGCCAGGCTCCTCTGTCCATGGGATTCTCCAGGCAAGAATACTGGAGTGGGCAGCTATTGCCTTTTTCAGGGGGATCTTCCTGACTCAGTGATCAAACTCCAGTCTTCTGGATTGCAGGCAGATTCTTTAGCGGCTGAGCCACTGACTGGGGAAGCCTTGAGGGACTGTCCTTCTATGCCTCCCCTCCCCCTCTGCTGCTGCCCATTCTTCCTCCTTGGGCCCTGCTCCTGGTTTTCCTGATGTGCTCAGCCCACCTCTTAGGGGAGAAACAGAGAGGTCATGTCATTGACACCTCCTTGGGCTTGGCAGGCCTGGATCACTGGGCCTTGATGCGTCCTGAGGCCGGGCATTGCCAGCTTCTTGGACGGAGCAGGCAGGAGCTACTCCGGAAGGGCCTTTTGAGCCCCAGGACTTCGTGGCCACCAGTACTTCCTCCCTGGCCCACAACACAGCTCAGATTCAGCAGACGCTCAAGCTGCCTGTGGACTCCTGAAGGGGTCCAGGGCCCCTTTTTTCTCCATGTGGCTCTGGTTTCCCAGGGAACTTGATCGCATCTTCCACCAGCTCCCGTGTTTTCTCTGTTACTCTGAGACACTGGGGCCTGGCTATGATCAGCTTGCTTTGTTTTCGGTGGTAAATCTGTTTTTCTTGTGTTGAAGGCAGGGGCTGGGGTGTCTGGGCTGGGAGTCGCATGACCTTCCCCTCCCAGGAACACAGAAAGAAGAAAAGAAAAAGGGGCATGATTGTAACCTGCTCAGATCGCATCTTCACCTCCCACTGGCTTGGTGACCTGGACAAGTAACAGGCTTTCCCAAGCCTCAGTTGGCTTACCTGGAAAATGAAAATAAAGATGCCTATCTCCCTAGGGTGGCTAGGATTGTGCACCTGGAAGGTAGTGTAAGCTCAACTAATGGCAACTAAAAAGAAGTTGGAAAAAACTGACAACCCGTACTTCTGTCTTCAACTGTGGAGACAGGACTTCCCTGGTGGTCCAGTGGTTAAGATTCTGTG